TCCTACGGAAGTGTATGGAAAACAGCTCCAAACACCTCATGAAACCCATTTCATCAATTTGCATAGATTGTTCAGCGAAATCCTGTAGCCAAAAACCAAATCCTATATAATAGGATTCGCTGGTGACCGTTTAAGAGATAGCTGGGAGTTCTGATATGACAGATACGAAGAAGAACCTCGCAGCTCGCCATCCAGTGTTGTCAAAGTACAGAGCCGGGTGAGCAGGGCCAGCGACCCGTTGGGGGGGGGGGGGGGGGGGGGGGGGGTACCTGGACCCATTTGGAAAAAGAACACCGGGTCACTTGTGACCCAGTTGGGTATACATATGCTACATACATCAGGGAGCCCTAAAATATGTACGGCTCCCTGATGTACATGCAGTAGCCGCACTTGAACGTACTACTACCCAGCTCTGACCCAGTTGGAAGAGTTGTGCCAAGTACACGTGTACCCGGTTGGATTGAAATCCTAGAGCAGACACTGCATACATGTACTTACCACATACACCAACTTGATGTGAGGCATATGGTGGGATGCGGCTGGCTACGTCATGGTTCAGCCAGCAGTTCATGACAATAGTGTCATTTGATGTGTGATGTAAGCAGAAGCCAAGGTCTCGGGCTAGCTCGATAATGTGAGCATGCTCGATTGCAACATGAAGCCATACGCCATTGTGACAATGCCGGCGCCAATGTTCCAAAGATTCTGTGAGAAGGAGAGAGAGAGAGAGAGATAGAGAGAGAGAGAGAGAGAGAGAGAGTGAGAGAGAGAGAGAGAGAGAGAGAGAGAGAGAGAGAGAGAGAGAGAGAGAGAGAGAGAGAGAGAGAGAGAGAGAGAGAGAGAGAGGTGGGGGATGGAGAGAAAGAGAACAAAAGATTGTACAGTAAAGCCTGTGATAAGCAACCACTGTACCAAGTGAGCACTGTGACTATGTGCCTACATGTAGAAAAACTGATCCTGCTAGTCCCTAGACCCTGCTCTATCACATACTTCTAGTCTGTACAGGTATTGAATGGCCGATCTTTGTGCAGCATAAGGTAGTCGCTCTAACTAAAGGCAGGTTTGGCTGCGATCGAAGTTTTGACGCACACCAAGTACAATAACAATGACTTCTTGTCAGATATAGGCTTTACAGGCACGATCATCCCTCCCACCCCCTTTCCCCACAACCAACGCATCCGTGTGGAATCTATTCAATGTGGTGCAGCTGCTGAGCATGCTTTCCGTCAATTTCCGACATGGAATATGGGGTGACTTAGCGGAAGAACACCGGTGGTTGGTAGCTCTGCTATGCCAGATTTCATTTAGATCAATCTCTTATAGAGCTTTTTCAAGGACGCGCCACCGTGCTCGTCAGCGGCGCTCACCCTGAGATTGTGGTGAACAGGTCGCGCATTGAAAAGTATACGAAATGTGACAGGTTTGTCTCCACCAACGTTTGGAGCAATTTTGAAGCTTGTTCTTTTTCACCCAGGCCATGGAAGGGCTTCCTGGCAGCTGCTCTGACTCAACACGCTTGTCGGACATGAAGTTGAGCGTCATCCTTGTGCTTCTTTCACCTCTACATGTATATGTTCATTCCTGTGCAAACTGGATGTGACCCGGGCTTCGCCCGTTCACCTGCGATTCAAAAATTTATTGCACATGATCCCAAAAAGTGACGGTTGGTGTGTCCCTGAAAAAGCTCTATTCCTAACCAATCACCCATCCAACACTAACTAACTGTCTTGCTCTCCCACTGATCTATGTGTATGTGTGGATGGTGACAGGCTGAACCGATGATGTTTCTTCGTTTCTCCATCTCCACGAGCAGGGTCTCTGTAGTGAAACTGTGATCATCAATGTGCAAATGGAATTGTTTCAATACGCACCCTCTGTATTTTAAAACCAAGAGTATATAAGCTGAAGTTGAAGACACCACTGCAGCTGTACTTATGGTTGATAAAGTATATAAGCTCCCTGGGAGCTTTACTCTTGTTAAAACTAAATAGTAAATACTACCTATGATGACATCATACACTCTTACCACGAAGGATCACGGTGAAGATATCTTTGAGACGAAGCTCATCCCGTAGCTCTTGAGTGTGAATAATGATGTTGTTAAATGCCCCAACCGAATGTGGAAACCCCTCCCTACATGCTCTATGCTGCGTGTCAGATAGAAATCTTACAGATTTCGTGTGAGCATGGAGCAGAGCAGTGGCACTGAAGTTCGAAAAATGGGACCTGGACTTCTGAACAATGGGACAGGATTCAGCCGCTGTCCTTCCACTAGTCCGGGAACTTGCGGCCCATAACAGGGAGAAGCTGCGAATTTGCCTATCCTTCACCACCGATTTTGTGCATGTCTTCGAAAATATAATTGACACATTTTGGCTACTTCTCTTCAGCATCATCATCTTCTTCAGTGTGAACACAACTCAAGTCAAGGAATACTCGTACTACAGGTACCCGTACCTTGCTTCCTGAACCATGTGAACATCAACGTGCAAAGTGCAACAATAGTACAATACCGTCTACGCGTACATAATAATTATAAATTTCAAATCAAGAAAATAATTATAAAAATGAGCAGCTACTCTATCGCGCGCGCTGTACGAACACACATACTGTGCACATGTGACATAGTGCCAGTATTACCACACACTGTAGTAGTCTAGTACCAAGAGTAGATAAACAAGAGTGTGCAACTCCGGATGGATTGGCCCACGGCGGAATTTTTTGTTGACGTAATCTTTTCGACGACGCACGCGCTGCGAGCCTTTTGGAGAGTTTTCCCTCGTGCACTTGGCTGGGCTTTACACTACAAGGTCGGTGCCCAGCACGTGCTCTCACACTGCTCTGCGGCAAAGCCGCGTTTCTCTGAAAAAAGGTGACGTAAACAAAAAATTCCGCCGTGGGCGCGCGGTATCTGCAGATTGTGCAGGAGAGATCCGGAGTTGCACACTCTTGTTTATCTACTCTTGCTAGTACTTAGTACTAGTACAGTACTTAGTACTAGTAGTATCAAGAGTCCATATGGGTTTATGGACTCTTGGTAGTATAGTACAATAGACCCTTTGCACAATAACGGTCACGTGATCCGAGACGGGGCATCCTCTTCGATTTTTGTGCAGAGTATCAGTTGTTGAGCATAGTGGAACACTGTATTTTTCCATTTTGGAGATGGAGGAGAGAGTGTCGAGTGGTTTGCCATCGATGGCTGTGGAACCCGTGGACGAACTGTCTAATGAAGATCGGTTGTGTAAGGAACTGAACAGTTTTCTGCTGAATGAGGGTGCGTATCTATCTGGAAAAAGAAGGAGTTGTTGGAGCGGTAAGTTTTCCGCATTCAGTGGATAATTCGGATTACTGTAGATTGAAATTTATTTTTATTTTCTCTTCCTTCTCTCCTCTGTCGATGTAGAGAACACTTCTCTATGCAGAACCCTGATGCTCCTAGAACTAAGAAGGGCACCACTTCCTCGAGTGTACCTTCATCATGCGTCATGCGTCCCAGTGGATGAGTGATGAACCCGGCTCTGTTTCCCAGAGTGAGTGCCACACCATGCTTGCTCGTCTCCAACGCAGGGGCAAGTCGCCGACGACAGTGAAGAGGGAGCTGATGGAGTAGTACTAGTGAACAAGCCCGTGGATAGTGTCCATGAGTTTTACTTTGGTGGCTATGTGCATAATGTGAAAGTCTGTCATATCGTGCACACAGCCACAGCTCGAACTCAGATGACTTTCTCCGCAAACCTGAGCGATGAGGCCGCGTCTCTCTCCACTTCAACAACAGCAGCTGGAGCAGCGCCAGCAAGCAGTCGATCTTCCAATAGCGAAGACAGGGATGGGTCATGCCTTTTTCTCAAGCTCCAGAGTCTCTTGGCAGGGCGTTCCATATCTTCGCAAAAGCAAGGATGAAAGTCGTCATGGACAAAGTGTTCCGAGCACAACACTGTAAACGATATCGCAGCACTGCGGCCCTCTTCTCGCCAGATAGCCAGGATTCCAGAGTGTGGAATGCCAGCATCACCAGGGAACGCATGGAAAGACAAGTGGGTTCCTTAGACTAACGTTAGGGATGACGGTTGCTGCAAACAAGAACCCAACAGTGGTCCTTGGAAAGCATTTCGGGACTTCTTCCTTCAGAACTAGAAAAACTTCAAAATGAAAAAAGGCTGGGGAGTACATACATGAACATCGCGTCGGGACCGTGAAAACACAGCCTGTCACAGGAAACTTGATCACGTCCTGCAGCAAAACCATGCATGCTGGTTGCATGCCAAGTGTGCAGCGCGTGCACAGCATGCCCCGTCTCGACCCCTCTCGCTTATTGCGCAAAGGGTCTATAGTAGTACTAGCGGCTATATTTTTTAAAGTATAAATTTTTTTAGATCTGCGTAGCGCACTTTACTTGCCTTGGTCAGTGTATTTGTATTGATCTTTCCTCGTTTTGTACTACCCGGTATTTCAAGGATTTAATACCCGGGGTATTAGTCTAGATCTAGGCTTTACTTGTTTAGTTTACTCCACCCCTGCCCTGGCCCTGTTGCAGTGTCACCGACTTGTGAAGTTGTGTTGTTGTGATTGGGTTGAACTATTAGTATTACTTTAATACTTACTTGAAGTCTGTCACAGATCCAGTGTCAGACGTAAAGGCTTTCACATGCACCACTCCCGGCCCGATTACTGAAAAAGACAAGTCCAACTCAAACTCGACTCGAGTAGTCAAAGCATGCACGCACTGGAGCACAGCATGCATGCACTCAGCACTGAGCTGAGTCAGCAGCTAGCTCAGCGCATGCATGCAGCACTCCAGCAGAGACTGAGTCAGTACGTGAGCATGGTGAGTGCTAGTGCGGCGTGCATTGCATGCCACTTGATCTTTGAGCTAATCGACATCATAATATTATCATGTCAGTCATCATGTCATGCAGTCACCAGCGCTAGCGCTAGTATCATACAAAGCCTCCATCGATGCATCGGCCATATGCACGCAAAACTTCACGATCAATTCAATGTTCATGTTCAGTATTTTTTCGCAGTTTCTCTTCTGCAATTTTATTTTTATGGTCCAGTGCAGGATTACGTTCAGAACGCCTTGCAAGTACAATAATTGGTTGTCCACTCTGCAACATTTGCCAGAGGGAATTCCGTGCCCTGTCTTCTTGTGAGTAGGCTGTGTTTCTTCAGTTACGCAGCGTCCTTTGCGGATAAGGAGGATTGCCTATGTTGAAAATTGTTTGTACCGACGGTGTTATTAGCTAACCGTACGGCTCAGGATGGTTTCTCATTTGCTGCCAGTGCCTGGGCGACTAGTTTGACAGTGAACCGCGCTGCACAAACGCGCGTCCGCTAGCAGAATCGGACGTACTGACGGACGTCTGTCCGAGTCGTGGTGCTCGGTCGAGGGGACGAGTTTGCACGAGAATGCCCGGCTTAGTAGCGAAGCGCTGGTGCAGGCTACTGGTTATTTTGGGTCTGGTTATCCTATCGCTGCTGCTGATAAATAGCCAGCTGCAAGTTTCAGAAGCCAACGGTGCTCGCTCCGTAGATAGATCGCTGGAATACCGACTGTCTAACGGGGCCAACTTAGCGGTCAAGAGCGAGCTGGATGACAAAGGGGCACATTTCGAGAAGCAGCCTGGTGACTCTGACAGTTTGCATGGATTGCCACCTGAGAAACTTGAGAGTCGCCAGTACAAGGAATCTGATCAGCATGCAGTCCAGCACAATCCCGATATAGTTGTGGAGAGTAAGAACCCTCCGCGACCACCGCCGCCAGGCCCACACTTGCCGCCCGGAGCTCTGTTTGTAGTGGTCCTGATCCTGTCGGAGACGCCTGATGCACCACATCGCAGGGCAGTGCGCAACTCCTGGGCTCGGAAACTCACCGATTACCAGGTTGATCGCGACGGCCTCGTGGCGGCGGCAAACAGAGAAGGCGAAGCTTTTACCACGGAGACTCTGTATCGCCATTTCTTCATTGTGGGTCGTCTTGCAGGCATTCTGGATTATGTTCGTGCCGAGATGGAGAAAGAGAGAGATGTCGTTATGGTCAATGAGAATGACTATGCGTCAACATCTGCTAAGCTCTACTCTGCACTGATGTGGGCCAAAATGAATCTGGAGTTTGAATATGTTTTGAAAACTCAGGACAAGGTCTTCCTAAATGTCCCAGGAATGATCCAGTGGGTTGCTGCACAGCCTAGGAAGCGACTATATGCTGGTAACATGGTGCACCTTGCGCGCATCATGAAGAAAAAAAGATCACCGTGGTACATGGCAGACAAGTTTTACCAGGGCAAGTTCTATCCAGATTACTTGCAGAGTTTTGCTTTCATCATGTCTCACGATACCGTAGAACTGCTGCTAAATGCATGGAGAGGGTCGCTGACAGCGGAGATTGGCCTTCTCCATATTGATGACTTGGACGTGGGTATTGCAATGAAGAACTACTCAATATCGCCAGTTCACTGTCCACATTTCTATAAAGGATTCAGTACACAGCTCTGCAAGAACCCACAGGTGCTGGCAGTTGGGGAAGTCCCCAGAGACAAGCTCCAGGTTCTTGGGGAGAATAGCTTGCGAGGTCGACCGTCTTGCTAGGTGCTGTTTTGCCGATGCTAGCTCGTGAATGAATTTTGGGTTATTTAATTGTGCCTTCTGCTATGTGTTCTTTCCTCGTCACCAACTCATACTGTGTGCTGCCAAGCTGTCCTTGAGCTCCCTATGACATGCTTGCTGATCATCGTTCATTTTATCATCGTGTCTTGATGCTGCTATATTATTATAACATGATGCTGGTTGTCCACTTTGCTTGGTGTTGTGTCACAAGTTGAAGATTTAGTTTATCAGCCCGTGTCGAAGCTTGCACAGCTTACAGTGTTACCATCACGGATCAGTGCTGCTGCAAAAGCTGTAGTTTGAATGGTATGAATTGTACAAGTAGTATTATAAAAACGACAGGCCATACAGAAATAAAACTGGAATGGATCCGGCAATCGTGATACCTATTTCTATCATCTGTATTGTTTTCAAGAAGATGTTTGTTTTCGATTCGTTTATAATAGTCTTACTGTTGATTGTTTTGTTTTTTCAATACAGTATTCTAATTGGCACTTTCCGATACTGACCTCGAACTTGCTTTTTCATACCACAGAGTAGCTACTAAGCAAGGTACAATGATTGAGGCTGAATAAAATTATTGTTTTATCATTGACTGGAAAGGAATGGGGAAACACCGTGACTACAGAGTACAGAGAGATCAGACGCTGCAGTACATGTACATCCTAACCTCAAAGGCACAATAGCAAGAATTCCCAGATTGCCTATGTAGAGTGTTCAACACCACAAGGATGGAGCAATAGACATTCAGACCGGCTCTGTAATCTGGCGGCATCCCGGCACTGATTTGCCATTTCTGTCACATTATGGGGAGGGGGTTGCTGGATTAAACTCCCACACCTGTACCGTGCATAGCAATCCTTCAATAAAATCAATCGATATCGGTTGAAATTGTGTGTATTTTCTTGCTGTGTTGGGGGGCACTTCATGTACTTCAAGTAGTCACATGACATGATACAATAATGTACCGGTACTTGCTATTCTTTTTAATAACACAATCCCTTCATCTCTAGTCTAGTCTGCATTATAACCGTGAACCTTGATCAGACTTCCATTTGGTCCACTTTCAGGAACAGGTTCCAGCACTGCTGCAAACCGTGAATAGAACATGGACCCAGTCACTTGTGTTGTGTTACATCAATGATTATGTAAGTACAATCAAGTGTAATAAAGAGCTCGGCTCCTGGTATTGGGCACTATTTGAGCAGTGCAAGCCACCTATTGTGTCAACTCAAGAGTACATTATTTTGTACGCGTACTTGTACCCAGGGAAAGGTTCTCACAGTTTATCCAGACAGAACTAGTAGAGGCATACGTCCAGATAAGATCTATAAAGTGCTATGCCGCGTGTGTGTGTGTGTGTGCGTCAGAGTAGTTGTTCAGATATCTAGATGGAAAAAACTGCAAGCGGCCACCACCGCTAAATGATACGTACCATGACTGTACCTCTGCTCTTCTCCGTACCAGCAGGGGTCCACAGTCCTGGGTGTTCTGGACTCTCAGAAATGCTAGTAGTACTGGTACATGTAGATATGAATAATTATGATCAACACCAATCCACCAATGGAAGACCAAAAGTATGCTACTTGAAGTTGAAGTAAAAGAATGTACATATTTTCATGACTTTGTGATGACCATGTATAAGAACTGCAGACAGGTTTGATCCCAGCCTGAAACGTTAAAGGTATGGAAATGGGGAAAGGGAACTTGGAAATGCTAGTAAGACAATGAAAATTAAAAGGCCCTTATCTTTCCACGGAAGTAGGCCAGAGGAGAACATCAAGCAGCAGCAAATGCTGTACATATAATATGTACCCAGAAATACTCAACAATAGATACAGCAGAGAGTAGAGGACGAAGTCACGCCGGAACTGAATAAAAGTAGCTAGGAGATATAAATTTCAGGATACATTGCATTACATAGACGTGCACATTGGCCATTGTATTCCAGATACAACTGAGACGTGCCGGTATACGGAGCTAGGAAAGCGACAGAAAACAATGAATTGACAATAAAACCATGGCGGCTGAGTGACGCCCAATACCGTGATGAGAGAAAGAAGGGAGAGGTTAACGGCCAAACCAGTGAGCCGGGAAAATGTTGCGATGCTTCACGATATAAATTACACCCAAAATTGGGACAGTAATGACAATGATGCCAACAATAATCATGTGCCGCCAGGACAGGCCACATACTGTAGCATACTCCATCTGCTTCACGGCAGTGGATTCAGACAACGGTGCAATGGCAGTAGCTTCCGGGTTGGGAGCAACACGAGACATGAGCTGAGATTGTTCATCGTGTAACACGCCATCTTCATCTTCGATTTGTTGCTTGACTGATGAAAGGTCCTCATCAAGGCGCTTCAAGAGCTTTTGCGCTTCATCCGCAGATTTCAAAGCTGACGTCCTAGCATACCCATCGTCATCATCATCCATGTGATCCTCTAGTTCAGGATAATCGTCCGTTCCGTTTGGTAAGTCTTTGTAGCTAGTTCCCGGTGCAGGCTGCATCCTAGCCTGTTCACTAGGATCTGTCATAAGACTATGGACCGGAACGGGGATGCGCAACTGAACACGTCCATGAAAATCCTGATCCGTGTAGATGTTATTTGCCCGCTTGATTTCAGCGACCTACAGAGACCCAATGTACCAGTACAAACAGAAAGATGAACCCACACATACTCGTATCACCTTTGCGGTCACTGTTGAGTAACAGTGACCGCAAAGGTGATACAACTGACCAACCAGTGTGTCTACGCCAACTGTGATAACCAAGTGGTTCTCTGCTTACACGGCCAAATGAGTCAAAACACACACACACACACACACACACACACACACAAAATGGCTATCAAGTGTATATAACCCCGCAAAGTAGCAGATGCCAAAGGGAAAGCATCACGACTCGTTTTCCGAGTTGAAGGCCTTACAGGAGCGGAAGGGAAGGACCTGAAACCACTTTGTTTAATCTTTTTTGGAAGTTGCTGGGTTTGAACCTGCAACTCTGCGGCTCTACTGCCAAGGCACTGGGACTAAGCACTCCACAATAATGGCTTTTAAAATACATCATGCCGTATACTCAACGCGAATTTTGTGCAACTGTGCACAGACTTGTTGCCCTTCTGCAATGTCAAGCTGGCTACAACCCTGGTTTTGTGTACCGCGAGATGCATTAAACTAGTAAAATAACTGAAGTCTAAAAGCGAGTCGTGACCGAGATCTAAGTGGAGTTGTACACTCTCGAGATAGTGTTGTTACCTGGCTTTGCCTGGAGCTAACTTCTTTTCTTCGGTGTGGAACCAGTCGCTGAACCTCTCGTCAGGACAGTGAGCACAAGTAAAGGGATTCGGCGCTGTTTTGCAGCCCTTTAAATCAGTGACAACGAGCCTGTCCTCATGTAGTGAGGTTTCAGTGACAACTGTGTTTCCACTGGTTGACGAATGCAGGGATGATGATGATGGTGCTGACACCGTATTCGTTAGTAACATCAAGTGTTACTAAGAAAAGCTCACTAAAGGGAACGCACACTCACACAGTGACACATTCCACATTCGTGCACAACGGAAAGCGATTCGAAGAAACAATAACCTTGAACTTTCTACATGAACTCCGAAAAGCACCAACTAGTCTAAAACACTACTAAAAGTCCAACAACCAGGAACTAAACAAAAGCAGCGCGGCGCAAGCTCCGGTGCATGCATCCGGGAACTCGCGAGACAGAAGCATGCACGTGACCTCAGGTCTACAGTCAATGCTACCATGAATGCAAGCATACTAGAAGCAGATGCGTAGCAGTACAGCACAATAATGCATGTGACATATAGTCGTTGGTTCAGACCTCGGGATCTTCTGAACATCAAGTCTTGCCTTCGAATGGAGGTATCGTCACTGTTCGGAATCAGCACCACCCAGCCAGCCTGTTGTGAGATTCTGGTATCGGCACTTGATCCTCGCTTCAAGGACCTTTCGTTATTGGGCGAGGATTACCGTGAGGAGGTTCATGATGAACTGAGGCGCAGAATGTCATGCGCTGAATCTGCCAGCAAGGAATCAGAGGATGATAAAAAACCGCCAGCAAAGCGCCGATGCGCATCGGAGCCCAACCAGTCCACTCCGTCAGTGAGAAAGGAGCAGTCATTGCTAAGCCGCCTTGCTGGAAAGTACCAGTCCGACCATCCTGTCTCTTCCAGCAACCCCCAAGCAGCTCAGTGTACAAGAGGAGTTTCGGCTGTACCTCGACACGACAGGTTGCGACAATGACTGAAGTCCACTGGATTGGTGGCGACTGAATGCTGCTTCGTTCCCAGCAGTTGCCAAACTGGCCAAGCAGATCCTTTGTATACCAGCGTCATCGACGGAGTCCGAACGCAACTTATCCACCACTTGGATCTTGACCGAACGGAGGAAGGCACGGCTCAGCAGCGATAATATCAACGCGATTCTCTTTTTCAACAAGAATCGCTCCCTCCTCTGTGAGTCTCAGTCTGAGCCCGGCACCACAGTCCCGAGCCTTCCAGACGTCTCCTTTATGCCAAACCTGGAAGATGTCATCCTGAGCAGCGACAAGTCTCAGTCTGAGCCCGGCTCCACAGTCTCGAGCCTTCCAGACGTCTCCTGGAAGATGTCATCCTGAGCAGCGATCAGGATTCAGTAAGTGAGTGAGTGACGAGGAGAGAGACCAGATTCATTTTGCTTTTCTCTTTTGTTTCATTCTTCTTGTTCTTGTTCGTGAACTTCTACCGCCTTTTCTTTCCCCCAAATCTGTTCTACTCTACAGTACACAACCAAGTAGAGCAAAAGAGAGATTGCGCACAATGAACATTCGTCAGATTTGGCCGTTACAGCATCAAGTAACGTAAGTTGCATGGACTTTCACCTTCTTCCAATAGCAACAGAAAAGCTCAGCAACGAAATGATAATAATTATTATTATATTTTCATAACCTGAATGATAGTGTGAGTTGCGCCAAAGAGTAAACGCACTATAACAGGGAGGTGGGAAGTCAAAATAGCACTAGCTTCCTAACAAACTCCTTCTGTCTACACAGCTCAGGCTGTAGCTTGGCAATGTAAACCAGTCGGGGAGATGTCCTATCTAGGACATCGCACTCTGAATGAGTCTGATTGGTTACCTGTCCCAGAGTTGTCATGGAAGCGTCGGTCGTGCACACGCGATGAAAAGAAGTGCTGCGTGAGCATTTCTGAATGTATGTGGAGGATGCACGATCGTAATGGCTATGGATTTCTTTCCGAATTGGTCAAGTTTGAAGGAATAGGCGGAGAATATCAGACATCGGCGGGCATTGAGGTAGTGTATATTCGATTCGCTATCGAATACCCGACCGAATGGCCGTTTTCGTTTGGGGATTTCATGTGGGGTTTCTCGTAGCCACGCGGCGCTTCTTCGGAAACGATTGCTTCGCCTTTGGAATGTTTCTTCACGCCCCGTGCGTTCATTTCGCCCCAAACCTGGCCATGCAGAGGAGGAAGACGAGGCAGCAGGCGCTAGGCCCGTAAATCACTGCCTGGAAGATATTATTTGGCCAAAGCTTGCTGTTGGCGTTTTTGATTTCTTGGATACGACAGCTCTTGGCTAAAACTGGACCTTGGACGGTCTTTCTTGGATATCAACCCAGGACGTGGTGGTCATGGACGTATCGCCATCGCTTTCAGCCAGATCCTTCTGCTGCCTGAAACCAGTGGCGAAAGTAAAAACTTTGATCGCAGCAGCAGCTACTGCTCTGCTGAAAGTGCGAACACAAATTAATTGCTTCGCCAACCCTCTTGTGCATTTGCAATTTTCAATGCGACCAAAACGATTCGCTTGCCAGTTCCTTTGTCCAGGTGTACTCCACAACGAGGAAAATAAAATTCGTGAAGGCAAGAGGCAAGATACGAACCTCGACTCGCTTGAGGCAAGCCGCCAGGAGAACGACAACTAATAATTACTTTTGAGACGAAAGGCCTTCGTTGCGTTTGTTTTGAGTGAGACATGTTCATCTTCCTCGGCCGCGACACAATGTTTTAAGTCACGTGTCACGATTACTATGGGAACAGCATAGTATGTATGCTGGGGCATGCTGGGTTCCGTGATGTCCTATCTATATATATATGACATCTCCAGGACTGGTAAACAGCCTCTAGCACATCTAGGTGACATTTGCTGCGCGCCCGCGCGTGAATCTTGAAGTGCTCTGGAACATTCTTACATACTGCATTGAGGCAAGAAGGGGACATGATAAGATGTGTGGTTATTTATTTTCATAACCATCACCATACTGCCACACAGTGATGTGCGATACCTGTGTACTGTTGCCCACCTGGTGTGTGGATGCGTGAAGCGTCGAGACCTATTTCTTGTACTTGGAAACTTGAAGTTCCCACTGTTACGCAAGCTTCAAATGATCGATTTTCGTAGTCTCTTTCGTCGGTGCCTGATCCGTTGAACACTACGAAACTTTGCTACACAACCTCTCCAATAACGAAAACAGTCCCAATACAATGGCGGGGAAGTGATGATTACGTCCCACTAGGGTACGAAGCACCAGATGTGGATTGACCTATTATTTCTGAGAGAATTTAAAATTGATGAGGACAGTCTGTAATACATGTATCAATAGGGCAGTAAGACTTACCGGACATCCATATTGAAGAGAGAGGCTAGCCAGTGTGTCTGAAGGCGCCAAATCTCTGTATACGAACTGAAACTTAGATTTCTGGTCAACAACGTCAGGTGTAGTGGCCTTATTTCCTTTTCGGTGAGATAAAACAGGCATCTCAATGCCTTCATAGTCTGAACTCTCCACTTCCACTGCCGAAGAATCTCCAAACACGAACAAAGATCCCTGTCTCGTATTCTCACGCCGAGCAGGTGCAGAGAATGAGAACGAGGGCCTGCGATTAGTTTTTCTCGCAGCACTGTAATGAGACATACTGCAGCAGAGGCCAGTGCTATTAGTAAATACATCAGTATCGGCAAGTGGTCCAGATTCTCAATATCAAATCTCATGTGAAGTTGAAGTCATAAAGCAGCTCCATGTACGAGGCAGAGGAACGACTGGCAATGAAAATAGCAGGACGAACTGTCAAATTTCTCTCCACATTAATTTTGACAAATTCAATTCGTCATTCTGCAGATTATGATAAAACCGAGCAAGAGATCCAGCACTGCTTACTAGTATCGGGTTAGGTGATTGGAAACTTCTAACATTAGCAAGGTTGTAAGAACGAGAGCTCAGCTTAGAGAGCTATGATTGAACAATCCCAAGATGAAGATACTAAACAATCAAATCGTTGACTAGAGTGATTTTAAAAATGCACTTTTGTCTTTTGTCAAAGTAACTTAGTTTGGCTGTGATCACTGGTAAAGCATGCATGCCTGGGTCGACCTTTCATCATTCATGACGTTACTTCAAGCGCGCGCCACGTTGAACACATGTGTGGCCATGGCGACAGAATACGGCGCGCCCGGAGGTCTAGACTTGACTTGTAGACTTGTTATGCAGTTCACATGGACGGTTCACAGGTTCATATGTTCACAATGGTTCAGGTAGATTCTTTATCATTCTGACTGTAGTACTCATATCAGTAGTAGCAAGAGTAGATATCTACTCTTGGTAGTAGTAGTACTGACAGTCAGTAGATCTTCTAACTACAACTACTACGTGCACACAACTAGCCCCGGGAGCCCGCGCCACACGCCACACACTGTCGGCCATGCACATCATGCTCTCCTCCGGTACATAATGTGCGACTGGAATAAAGAAGGAAAAGAGAAAAGCAGATTTTTCTCCATCAAAACGAAATCTGAAATGCATCGGCTGTTCCAGGAACGCAATGTAACCAATAGACAACAGTTACATGCTTACAACTATCAATAAGCCAGAGCACAAAACCAAGTGATGTGGCTTGTAGACCAGAATCAAAGGCGCTAGGCATGCAACAAGAGTCGCTCCAACAGAGATGAAACATGAAGAACTTAGAGAGGGAGAAGTTACCACCAGGCACGCAACGAAAGAAACGATGCCGCCAGCACTGCAGACAGCAAAACAAGGTTATGACTTGACTAGTACATAGTGTTGTCTTGTCGTGGCCAGCAAAGGAACGAGCAGCCCTTCAACCTGCCCAAAATCGCGTGCTCAAGCCAATCGCAGAGCTAGAAATAGTTTCTTGATTCGGCCACGAAACACGTTGTGGACACATGATGCTGCACACAAGAGGGAGGTAATTGCGAACAAATTGAGGAGTTTCTTGACAGTGAACTAACTTCGTGATTGTTAAGTCTCGGGGCGTGTTTGGAAGTAACCCCTCGTGAAAGTTCGATTGTGTAGTTCGATGAAGAAGACAGGAGTAAAAAATCTAACACCTCCGAACAGATCCCAAACATGCCAGAAAGCAAGTCCGTGTGAGGCGGCTCATTTTATACCCACAAAATTTGTTCGGACAGATTTCAAGGAGGATTCAATTGTAACTCGGAAGCTCATTGGTCTACCTTAGTTAGCGATGGCAGCTCGTGCTCTGATTGGTCAAATCTCTGGTGTCAACAAAAAGAAAAGTAAGGAACAGGGTAAAAACTTCAGCAGTTTGCTCGAAACCTGCTAGAGGTAGAAGCTCTGTGCTTTGTCAGGTGGCACGTGAGAGTGTACGTGATCGTGAACGCGCGAGATTTCAAGTGCCTCGCACGAGGTCCAGGTTGAAGACTTTATGTTTGGATTGAAATGAAGTCATTGACTTTGTACAGTGAAGATGACGAGGCCGAAGGGTGCTTTACGCCAGTTGCCCTTCCTCGTGGCATCATTTTGTCGCGCAAGCGAAAATCGCCTTCATTCATGGATGGTGCCAAACGTTCATGTTGCACCTCCGATTCCCCATCGTCGGAAGCAGAAGGAGAGACTCCTTCCCTGAGGATTGTTGTTCAGCCCGAGAAGGTACATTTTGAACATACTTTGCCTCGCTGTATGCGTGCTACATGTAGACTTACATTGTACTTTTCGTTGATGACGACTCAAACTCCAGTAAATTATTTAGCTCTTTTCTTGGGTCTGCTTGGTACCATTCCTGAATAGGAGCAGAAAACGTCTTCCTAGCAACAGGTTGAGTACTGCATGTATTTCAGAAAAAAAGATGGGTCTTTGGTTTCTTGATTGATCATGAAATGGATCCATGGATGTGTTATGCCTGAATCAGTATGTACATATAGATGAGACTCGCATTTTGAAATCTCCAAGGTACCTTTTTTTTTCTTCTGAATCTTTCATTTACATGTATGTCACCTCTATACATTCCTGTGTGCATTTGTCGTGTAGTATTTTCGTGCTCGCTACACCAGTGAGGGCAGCCGTGGACCAATGCGGGGTGGCCAGGATGGTGGCTATCCAACAGTGAAGGTAAGTTATGGACCGTAGTCTCTTTGGAAATGTGGGGTGCCTCAGCGGGTCCGGTAAGGCTCGTGCTGGTGGTCCCATTAATTTTATGTGTCTGTTGAGCTGTGGAAAATTCATTGCATACCACTCTGGCAGTATGGTCATTTCATGACATTATCTCCATTACAGCTCTGCTGTTGGAATGATTGGATTTTCCAGAGCTTGACTTATTTTGAATGGGCCACGAGCCACTTTCTTGCATCCATGTGTTCGCTTTTCTGATTTGGTTGACACTCGGTGGGTATTGGCGACGGCGATTGGTGCAGTGCCCATGGCTGCGCCTGTGTCACCTCTTGCAATGTGCAACTCCTCTTTTTTGGGAGTTGATCTGTGATGGGTCAAAGAGTGACATCATGGCCAGCATGGTGCCTTGCGTCAATTTTCTTGTCACCAAGACCCTTTCCACAAGCTTCTTTGGAGAATGAGGTTGGATTACAAGATAAACACGGACGACTATGCATTTTTCAGCGTTATATGAAATCCTGGACAAGGCGGTGATGTCAATGGATTTGGCTGGGCCCGTGACCCAGGAAGCCGGCGGCGGATTTCAACGATGTATATCAATTGCCCTCTCCCCAGACTCGTGCTCTGGAGGAGACTTTTGGGCCGTTCTACCCGGACCCGTGATCTGGGCTGTCCTTTTCGTGATTAACTCATCAGTCCTGTGGACTGGGGATTTGCTGCTGCTGTCACAGATCTGTGGCTACTCTGGGCCAGCTATTGTGGATGTGTACTTATCAAGTCCGGACGGGGAGGTTCACGACAACGTTTTAGTCCTTGGCACGAACAGTAATGGTGCCGGTGAAGTTGAAACTGTGGATGGTGGTCTACAATGTATCCGCATCCACACTTCCACAGCCAGCAGCATGGAAGCTGTGTATGTACTGCTATGTATTTGTATATGGTGGGTGTCATACCGGCCATCTTCCGTACTGTGCCAGCACCTGCCCTCCAAGGCTGCCATGCCTTGTTCAACCATGTGTGTGTTTGTGTGTGTGTGTGTGTGTGTGTGTGTGTGTGTGTGTGTGTTTGTGTGACTGGAGTTTGTGGCCGATGTGCATGTTTCATTGTCATGGGGCAAGGGGCGAGAGAATGGGTTTATGCCGGCAGTGGGGGTAATGTACCTTTGTGTGTTCAGTGTGATAGTCCTGGCAGTCCTTGGTTGGTAAGGCGCTGGTTGTGGTTGGGGAGGCCGGTTTCTTATGCATTGCTTATTCACTGCATGTCATGCATGAAGTGTGCAACATTGTTGGGCTTTGACATAATCGATGCAGGCAGTCCCAGTGTCTTGTAACCGTTTAGATGGCCTATTATGTGGACGTGAGCTCTGATCTGTACCTGTCAGCTCAGAGCCCACTTGACTCGGTAGCGTGGATTATTTCTGTGGCCATCTAAGGGGTTACGCATGTTTCTTTGACTTACCATTCTTGACCGAGCCCAGACGTTGTGCAGTTCATCCGAGAAGGAGAGTCTAGCTGTCGTGTCACACTTGAGTGTGCTTGCATTGTTCATTTGGTGTGGCATAGCAATTGGGCTACCCTTTGTTTTAGGATCCAGTTTCCATTGTTAACTTTTCCCTATTGGTTTCTATGTTTGTAGGTTCTCCAACGTCAGTGTTCGGCGTTTGCGTAAGTTTGAGATTGAATCTTCTTTACGCAACCGTGGAGTTGATCCGGAATCACATGACTGTGACCGCACGATAGCGTGCCTCAAGTTTGTTGCATGTATTCCTGGTCATGGAGATGTCACTGCCTTGTCGAACGCCTTCCAATGCAGTAAGTTTGTCTTCAAATTTAAGAAAGTGCTTCATGTTCGTGTAGTTCATGATTGTTACCTGACATTGTGCTCAGCACTCACTAAATGTTCTATTTAGGGGTGAAACAATTATACCGAATACTGAGTACTCGCTCAGGTTTTTCAAAAATAATCGTACTCGGAATAAATCAGAGTACTCGTTCATACATGGTACATGCATTTACCACAGAAATCTGCAGTTTCAGAGCAGCAGTCGGCAGATATCGATGTGCAGACTCGAATATTCGATCGGAGAAAATCAGAGTACTCGAACTCGGGATCTCAGTGCCAACTTTCACCCCTAGTTCTATTTCCTCTTTCTATTGATTATCATACTGTAGTCTGGCAAGCAAGTGAGCAACATTCTCTCCTTTCTGTTATGCTCGTGTGCTCGTTTTCCCCAGGTTCTCAGCCAGGTGCCCCCGAGATTCTCAGCGTTTGTCCCAGCACTGGTCATGCCGCTGGTGGTGATTCCATTGCCCTGGTGGGCAAACGCTTCAAGTCTGGTTTCAAGGTTCGCTTCTTTGCCAGCACTGAGCAGGGACAGTGGGAGTCCTGGGCCACTGTCAATCGTGATGTTTCCAACCAGGTATGTACCTTGATTTTCCTCTTCGAATGTCATTATAATTTATATCCATCAGTTTACACTGTGGTGCAATGAAATTATACAAATTAGTAACAATGTACCCAATATACCCTGGTTTGAGGGAAAGAAGCAAACGGATGTACGAATGTACCCAATCTTCTTTTTACATTTCTCCTGATGAAGTCTTTGTGTTTGCTTTTTGTGCTCAGGGTGCAGCCGTCCTCGAACTGCCACAATACGGTGAAGGTGAAGTATTCATGGCCACCAAGGTTCAGATTGAAGTCAGAATAGGTCCTGAGAGGGAGCCTTACATCAGCGAGCCTGCCGAGTTCACCTACTTGCCACCGAAAGGTAATTACAAGGTGTGGCTTGTGCCCCTCTTTATAGGCAGCGGTGATGGGTAGTGTTAACCTTTTGAGCACGACGCTACCTGAATGCCGCCCCACGTCAACACCTGCAAAAATCGCGTTTTTCCTATGAAAGTAGTAGCTGTTCAAGGATCGATAACTTTACCTTCCTTTGGACGAATTCCACGATCTTGAGCTTCCTGCAAAGGTCTTGAGGCGAGGAACAAAATAGTTCCAAGCTCAGCTCGGAGCGACACCAAAAGCCCATGCTACAGTCTGGCAAACTTCACGCACGCGCTCGACAGACTTGAGCACGGCCAGGAGATCAAATCCTCAGCTGCCATTTCACTCTCCTTGCTCGTATCGAGCTCAAATTTTTTTTGAGGACTCCCCAGATCCGCTGCTATCATTTGAATCTAGTTTCCATGGCAGCAGATAGCGCGAAAATGATCGAAAATGGAGAATACGCGTTCTGCAGAGTTCGCAAAAAAATCGATTTGAATTTGCCGTGTCGAGTCGCATATCTCAACAACCCGGGGTCGTATCGCTTCGGCGATTGTTTCTATCGCAAGCTGAGAGTTTTCTCTTGCAGATACATATTTCGATCGTGAGAATCGGCCAAGAATTGACCGAGTTACGATAGTTTGAACTCACGCGGTTCATGCAAATCGCGTTTGTACGCTATGTACACTCACGACGTAATAATACGTCATGCGTGGGTGCAGTGACACTGTACGTGACGTATTAATACGTCATGCGTGCTCAAAGGGTTAACTAGTAATCACCAACCTTGTCGCATGCCCTTGCTGTTTATTTTGTATTTGTATTTAATAGTTAGTCGGGTACCCGTGCTACCCGTGAAGACCTCGGGTAGACGGGTAGAGAATAGTACCCGAAAACCCGAAGTCGCAGAAGACATCAAGTACAGTGCACGTGTACAAATTGATGTAATACTCCGCATGTCTGCCCAGTGTGTAAAGGAAGGGGTGCATTGTGGTGTTACCATGAAAACATAACCCGATCGGGTACCCGTGCTACCCGTGGGAAATTATCCGAACCTGATACCCGAAGAAAATGCTACCCGACTCAGCACTAGTATTTAATTATGGATTCTCCACAGGCCTTAGCCTGAATCGAGGGAGTCTCCTTTATCTGGTGTAGAGTCTCATCAATCCTTTTCCTTGTGTGTTAATTAATTGGCCATTGTGTTTTGGTATATCTTGTAGGCCCTGAGAGCAGTTGCACACGGTGTGCTGTGAATCAACCTGTTGCTCTACCGCCCACACCATTGTCATCCAGGGTGCATGGTGGCCGTTGCTCGCCGGCTCCTGTACCATCTTCTAACTCCTCTGACCATCGCCCAACAAGGCTCAGCCACAGCACGCCCAACTGGGGGGATCTTGTGACTGAAAACCTTCTCTCATCACTATCGTGTGCCAACACTACCGAGGACTTGTTCCCATCGAATGCCTCGAATGCATCCAGTGGTATTTTGGCGGACATTGGCCAGTGGGCAGATTTCCCATTGTTCTCTGCCGGTGAAAGTATCAGCAGCTACAGTCTGCAGTCACCGGTTGCACGCAACGACCAACTGGATTTTGGAGACAGTCATGGTAAGTTGGCGCGCTGCTGTGCTTATGCAATCTTCGATGTTGGCTCGTGTGGTGTGTGCTTGTACTACTACTGCCGTGGACATGGAAATCCGGTCGCACGTCTAGCGGCCCCAGGGCGCTGGTCATGCAGCCGTACACACATTCGTTTATGTGCTGCAGCTTGTTGGTCGCATCGGACCAACAATGAACACGTGCACTGCATGCAACGTTCTGTACGCACTGAGGGTGGCGGCCCCGGTCGTTGGACTGGATTTCCATATCCACCACAGTAGTATTAGTAACATAGCATTCAAAATTCTGGTAAACCCATGCTCTTCAGTCCGGTGTGTGAACTCAGTGTGCCTATGTAGCTTCAGTTATCCAGAATAGTATTGTATACTACCCATTTATCCAACAGCATCTGGTCCCGAAGGTGCCGGATAACTGACATGCAACTGTAGATTATTTTTATTTGAATCTTTCTTTGTGCGTAAATGATATCTATCCAGAGTCTCTGCCCGGTGCATTGATATCGTGTTTGTGGTGTGTGGTGTCATTGTTTGTAGATTGGGCCATCATCCAGCAGGTTGTTTCCGAATTCACATCGGCCTTCCCGGTGAACTCTAACTCGGTATGTATGTTGTACACAGGCATTGTATGTAGACTGTGGCTCACTTCCCTACGTACAAGCTGTTCTGAACTTTTGGAGATTGCTTCTCAACAAGTTGGCGAAGCCATCTTTTCTGGATGGGGAAAGTTGATGAAAATCACTTTGTCTATAGAGCAGGCAGCTCTCCTTTGGCATGGTCGATAGTTATTTTGTTGGTGGCTTGGCTCGATACTCTCATGTTTGCTTGTGCTTGCCTTGTTTTCCTATAGGTTGCACGGCACTTAAATTCCCTTGTCGCCCAACGCTGTGCGCTTCTGCATGAAATTTATCGCAAGTGTTACCAGAAGTCGATGGAAGTTGCCGATACCTCGCCATCTTACCTCATGAAGCGGCAGCTTGACTACTATTTGCCTTTGCTGCAAGGTACTGGAATTTAATTGGCATGTGTTTCTTGGCAACTTGACTTATCTGGTCTTCGTATCAAGTGTAGACTAGTTCTCCTGTATATAAAGGTTTACTTGTATGTCCGCCATCTCGGTTTTGCCGGAGTAGTAACTTTCTGCTTGAAGTCATGAAAATGTCATACCTATTTATTCATCATCTAACTTACTTACGCTGATGGGGAAAACCCAATATCTGTTGTACTTCTCGTCTCATGAAAATTCAATATTTAGCGAAGAACATAAAGAGAACATACTATCCTTTAAGTCTCGGGATCACACAACACATGATTTTCTGTATGTTTTCACTGAGTGTTTTAGGTCCCTAACACTGTTGAGTAGGTCATCAGACCGTTGTTGTCTCTCCTTTTTTAGTTCGTCCTCATTACCTTTTTTATACAAGCAAGTGCCAATATTAGTGGCAACTCTGAATTGTTTGCAATCCTGGTTGTGGGTTGTTCAGGATATTGCTTCCGTCAACAGTAGACTTGGTCCTACACTGCCGCGCAACTCCCGCATGCAATGCTATCCTGGCAGAATTTCAAGTCGTCATTTTTGTGGTGAAATGTTTCTTGTGGGCAAGATTTCCAAAGTTTGTATGACTCGAAGGTGTCGACTTCTCAAGAAATTAAAAAAAGTCTACAGGATTAAATTGCACAATATCCTTCTCTGCGGCCACTGGGCTTCAGCCATTGGAGACTAGGTGAACACGGCACTTTGCATTGTAAAGACAGTAGTGATATGAATAGTATGGAAAAGAGAAAGTGCACCTCCGCATCTGTGCTGCATATAACCACTTGCACAACGAAATGTTTTTGTTTTGTTTTTGATCGTGAATCATGGGATAGCCCATCCTACTGCAGTCGTCGCCAAAAAAATCCGGCCAAATGCTAGCTACCGGTAGCTGTACTGGGCCACATGCACTGCTATCATAGTGGTAGTGGTACATGTAGTGCAGTTACTTCACAGTTCACTGTTCACATGCTGACAGGCCCGCATTCACATGATCACTCAGACTCAGCGCAGTGCTCAACAAACCGACTGCAGCAGGCAGAGTGCGGCGCAGACTGTACTGTCCAGTGGCCTAGTCACGGTGCCACTCCAGTGCATGAACCCGCGATGAAGTACCGCGTACCTACCATACCTATGTACGCGTATCCATGGCATTTGGCCGGATTTTTTTGGTGGCGACTATAATTATAATTATTATATACATGTAGTACTGTAGTCTCGGGGCCAACTCATACATCACTTAGGTGATCAAAGGAAAGCTGCATGTGTTTTCACCTTTTACACAACATATTCAGCAATGCCCAACAGAATTTGCTGTTGCGGACAACTTTATTACTCCTTGCTCAGTATCAAAAAAACCTTTCATTGTAGGATTAGTGAAAGAGCTGAAACATTACGTGGACATACTCCAGCCACAAAAAAAAGGATCAAATTACTTTTCCAGAAGCAAAAACTAAGCAAGTGAATATGTGTAATTCTTTGACAAGTCACGATAGCTACACAATACTGAATGCCTGCAGCCGAGAGCCTGGGCAATTCGGTTGAGACATGAAAATGGCTCTGCAGGGGTGGTACTGGGCCACAGATATGCTACTTGACGAAAACTGTAGTTTCACTCAACACGTCATCATGTAAGTAGCACTGTAGGGAGTCGATTTAGTGGCTTTATAATAGATTTGATGGGCAGTAAAATGGGTTAATTGCAGCAAATGGAGGATTCGCAATGCAGCTTAGTGTAGTAGTATTACCGGTAGTAGGATGAAATGAATCTATGTACAATAATAGTGAATTCTTCATCCGATGCTTGATTCGATGCTCAACACAGTCACATGTATTTGTACCATTTATGTACTTGAGTGAACCTCGCTATACAGGACACATTTTTGCAAGTGGTTTATGCAGGGCCGAAACAACCTGGGGTTGTGTCTACCAATTCTACTTCAAGAAACAGCTTCTAAAATTTAGTATAAAGCTTGCAGGATAACATTGCGCATCAATGCTTGTTGATTTCTCAAGTTGTCCATTTCATGTCTGGAGAGTAATCCATTAACTCCTCCACCCAGTTCAAATCAGTGTCATGAGTGACGTGTGTTCTTGATATGTGGTGGCAAGACCAGAGATGGTGCTGTTGGTTTCCTTGTTCCAGTAATACCCGAGCTGTGACAGAAATTAGAACACCAACGGGTGATGGCAGCCACGACAGTAATGACAATAATGTCAATGATGGTAGTTAAAGCAACAACAACAACAACAACAACAACAACAACAACAACAACAACAACAGCAGCATCAGCAGCAGCAAGTCATTCACCTTTCTATTCCACCTAAGATCAACCATTGACACTACATGCTGCAATTGCAACGATTATATCGCGCATCCCAACTCTGTACTCTTATGCAAGTGATAACGCCCATGTCACACACCAGTTTAGTCTAGTTAGCTGTCCACGGATCATGCAATACGTTTAAAACCATACATTAGTAACCCACTTCACTGGTATAGCATGTGGCCAGTATGGCAATATTGTTGTCTCCAACCTTTTTATTCTCATTCTTTATTCTCACGAGAAACAAATGTTGTGAGTAGTGTAGCTGCATGCTGTCGGCACGTGTTTGCCTGGATACGGGATACTGCTAAGATTACGTGTCCGTGCCTGGGTTCGTGCCTGGGTCCGTTTTTGGTGATAACTCGTGGCCCTGCGCCGTTTCCCAGTCTTCCGTTTTTGGCTGTAGTCGTCGCAGCTCCTCGTGCTAGATCCGTAATTATTCTCTCTTTCGTGGTTTCTGCCTTTTTAGTACTCTTGTCGTTTCACCCTGTACCTTTCCTTTGTCCCCTTATCCGTAATAAGAGGCCAAGTAAGAATACGTGTTTACCCGAACATTCAAGGTGCTCTGTGTTGACTGGTCACGGGGGGGGCTCTGTCTGACTACACAAAATTGCTATGGTGGCCACATGCTATAACAGTGAAGCGGCTTGAACGTGCAAGCAATGCACCTGTTGTCTTTTCCCCCGAAACAAACGACGTACTTTCAATCGGCTTTTTGGATTTACCGGGGGTTAGCGACAGTTGTGAGTTCCCTTGGGAACAGACACGATAATATACTTTTTTTTCCTTCGGAAGTAAATGAATGTATCGGATTAAAAGTGCACTCGTTCTCACTCGGAGTGTAATAAAGCATGACCCGGCAGCCGCACCATCCTACCTGCTTGTCGTCTTGGCTGGCAGTGCACGGGCACGGGCATTTTGTTTCAACTGGGCATTGATAGCTGGCAGCTTCACTGCACAGAACACATGCGGAGAAGGTGAGGGCAGGGCACAGAATCAGCCAATTGCTTACACTCAGAGTGGGTACATGTAGCTAACTTTGATGTCAGTAAAAGGATTGTTTCAACTGTCTCAGCTACCCGTAGAAGTCAGTAAGCTTAGCCGTTTCACCTTCAGGAAAACTCTGCTGCCCCTCTTACCATCTTCTACTTCGAAGTGCAAGTTCAAGGCATATGCATTGCGACAGTGTGTCATGATCATTAAGGTAAAGTAAAGTGTGCACGCCCACGTTACAACCGGCTATACATTTGTGTGGAGAACCACAACCAGCTTAGGGAGTTTCGCTTGTGCCAGGCCATCACCATGCATAATCATTACATCTACTAGACTAAGGTTATACATGTACATGTATTGTAGATTATAGAGTACCTTGTCGTGCAGCTCCCGGGCTATCAGAGCTTTTCGCAGTGCCATCCGCTCGACCACAAGCATCTAACGCCGACATGCTGTTTCCACGACGACTGGAAGATTCCTTCAGAGAGGAAGCTTTGAGCCTGGCCACAGGGCTGCTAGGCGCCCGTACACTACCAGCACTTCCTGCCAGCAAGCTAGCACCACCACTGCTGGAGAGGGTTCGATTCAGGCCGCCCTGGCGATTTGTTGCTGAGCCATTGCCGTGTGAACCACCACCGGTGCTGCCAGTGACAGCGGAAGAGCTCCCACTTGCAGAGCTGCCGGCCGTTGCCTTGCCGATAGAGCTAGTGCTGGTTGACCTCCCTGTAACATGGATAGTATACCAGTAACAAGATCATTATAGCACAGTCAGCACAGTCAGTTTCTCCCCCCCCCCCCTCTCCTTTCCCTTAGCAGTGCCCTATGAAGTCACGTGGATAGTATTGGTTACTAGCAGATATTTGCAGTTAGCTTGGGCTGAACATTTGCTTGTTTATTTGGAGACAACCTATTGCACTCGCATTCTACTGGTATGTTGTTCAAACCCCCCCCCCCTCCCCCTCCCCGTACACACACACACACACACACACACCTGATTTCGACGCTGTGCCAGGTGATGAAGCTACAACAGGAGCAGATATTCTCCGATTTGAACTTCCAGCTGTATTGGGTGATGGTGGGCCTGCCGACATTTTGCTTGCTAAGCACACAGAAGGACAATCCAATGACCACCATAATTGTTAAGTAATTTTGAGGCATCTTGCAACTTCATCCGTAGAAAATAGTTGGGTGGACACACCCATTCACAAAGCACTGCAAATCGAACCAATTATTTTACGTACAACATTTCGGCAATATTTCCATTGCCAGGTACGAATGTTACGATGATGCCATGCGGGCCAAAAAAGAGCAGTTTTATGCCAAAGTCCTACCACCAAAAACAGCATCATGAATCTCGCGCAGTAAGAATAATAGAATACAGTGACTTCAGTGGCAGAGGTGTAAGTGAGACATTTAACGTCAGCACCAAAACATATCATGAGAACAGAATCCTACCGCCAAACACAGCATGATCTGGCGCCATAAGAATGATAGATACTGCGAGTTGAGCGGCCCAAGGTGTGGGTGAGATAATCCAACACCAGAACCAAAGCATATACAAGTTTTAAAACTGATAGTAGGGAGGTTTAGTTACACGTAACGGATGCGGGAACATGCCGGGTGATACACGTAAAGTTCATGCAATGAACCCACGTCTGCAATGTTGTTTTTCTCACGGAACAAACAAAAGCATGAAGTGAAAGGCCTAAACTTGGCCAAAGACGAAGCTTCGAAGCCCATCGAATATTTTGACTTCGTTCTTCGAAAAACTTCTTCCGCAACTGAGCACCATCACAGCCTCCACAATGCGCTCCATTCTGATTTTCACCCACGTTCTGGCAGAACGGTGGGTGATCCTCCATACACGGTATGTCGTGAATCAGAAAACGGCTGTACGTGGGTCACTGACTGAGTATCAAGTGGTACACGCACGTAAAGTACACACGGATTACGTGGGACTAAACCTTCCTATTGTGTGACGGTCAGGATACGCTTACCAGTACGTAGATGTACGTGATTGATATTTTTGCATTCAACTTCAAGCGTGTCTCTCACTGCATATGCTCAGTTGTTGGTTTTGGCCACAAGCCGCAATTTGGAATTCTAGCAAGACTTTCTGCTTCCCATGTTACACAGTTAATAATGCATGTGGCACACAGCACGAGCAATTTTAGACATTCACCCTGTGTGCACCACGTGTCGAGTCGGGCTAGCCCGCTCACAGACTGCACGAGTAGTCAATAATCAAGGATGCCTACACATACTTCTGCAATAGCACCCACACGGTGTACACGCAGACATCAACAACAGTTTGTCAGTTGAGGTCAAACCTCAATACAGCGTGGTGCTTACCGAAGTCAACATGACTCACCTGATACCTTTCTCCCGCTTCCTGATTTTTGCTTTTTGATATCCGCTGAGCCCTTTCGTCCCCCGTCCGTTTCATCTTCCCCAGCCTACCAGCATGCAACAGCAATCACGTAGATATGAGGTCATCATAGACTACTACCATGCTAGAAAGAAAGAATGAAACTGAAAGAGGAAACATAGACTGAGGACTGAGAAGGAAACGAATGAAACCAAAGTGAAAGGCTGCACAAATGAGCAAACGAAATAGGCCATTATGGCTATAGTCCAAGTGTGATAGCAAAGCAAACCAACTTGGAAAGGTCTTACCATGAAGTTCTTAATTGAGTAACTAGTACAGCATGTACCAAGGAGCTCGCCAACAGGTTTTACTGCAAAACAAATGAACAACTTGAAATG